GAGGTTGCCGTCCTTTCTGGAGAAGCCCTGGGAGTAAAGGTGGGCCGCGCCGTTCCGTGTTTGGGGAAAGCAGCCGTGTGCGGTCACGTGAGGCTGGCCCCAGTGGGGTCCCCGGGTCTGCAGTGGATCCCAGCTCGTATCCCACGGGTGGACTTGCTTTAGAGGTGTCAGAATTGGTGGAACCCATGGTAACCCAGAATTCCGCTTTTTTTTTTCTTTCTGATTTATGTTTTTTTCTGATAACGGTCTTCGTTTTCCTCTATGTTATTTCCATTGATTTTTCTTTTGTTTTTGTCATGGTTCAATTTAATGAGATGCTATGAAGAACTCTAAGTTAAAAATCCCAGCTAGGAAATCCAGTCATCCAAATGAATTCTGGCTGAATTTCCTTCTGGAAACTTTAAATAAATAAATAATGTGTGCTGGGAAATGGGAAAGGAAATATTACAAGGCAGAAAATCTTTTGGTTTCCCTTTGTTTTGTTTTATTGAGATTTTTTATTTATTCATTTGAGAGAGTATGAGCAGGCAGGGGAAAGGCAGAGGGAAAGCTAGAAGCAGTCTCAGGGTGATCAGGGAGCCCGACATGGGACTCGATCCCAGGACCCCGAGATTATGACCTGAGCCAACAGTGGAGCCTTCTCAGCTGCCCTGTATCTACACAGCCATCTATTTTCACTTTTGAAGTAGTGGGTTTTGCTCCTGACAGTTATGAAATCCATGTGTCCCATTTCTTTGTGAACTCCGTTCGTTCAGTCATTAGGCACCAGCCGTTCGCACATTATCCTGTGCCCTGGAGATAGGTGACTAAGATACAACCACCGTCCCCAAGTAAATTCATGGTCTAGCAGGGGAAGAGAAACAGGCACTCATCAGAGGTATGCGATGCATGAAAGGTGATGTCAGCAGCAAGCGAAACCTCTGTGGTCATCCGGAGGAGGGAGCGACCATCGATTTTGCTTATGTGCATAAAGCAAGGAAAAGGAATAAAAGACGGGTCCTGGCCCCATCTTAAAATGGCTTTTATAAAGGGCCTGGGTAGTAGGACTGTGAAACCTATTTTGGGATCATGATCGCAGGCTTTGTGGATAACCAGATGCTTGTGTGGTGTGACTGGCAAAATACGGGCCAGAGGGAAATCCAAGATCAAGTGTGTCCACTCCTGGATTTTTGCCTAGAGCTGACCTTGGCTGCACGGATCCACCCCCGTCTCCCTCTCTCTCAGGTTCAAAGACCTGTCCTATATGGGAGGCAGCCGTAGCTGGCACTTCATTTGCACTTAGGAATGCTCACATAAACAGTGGTCTGGATTTGCTGAAATCTGCTGTACAGAACGTTGCCCTTGCCCAGGGCATTCCACTCCCCCTGAAATACCATTGTTGTGCGCACAAAGGGTCTTCACAGTGTCCCTGATGACCTGGGATACACATTCCAGCGGTGGGAATGAGCCCTTTTCCGTCAGTGAGTGAAGAATGGATAGGTGTGCTTTTAAACCCGAGGTTACATCTTGTGCCCTTCGTACATCGTGGCCCTTGGCCCTCAGGATGACAGATTAGCCAGGAGACTGAGAATAAGTGTGTAATGAAAGCCATAAAAAAACAGGTGTTACCCTCAATAAGGGTGAGTGGACACTTTATTAAAGGTCACTGTAATCACTCCTGTGGCTCTCAAGGCTTGGACTTCCAGGGGATAGTAAGTCTTCCCCCAGGAACATGTGACTTATTTTTTTCTAAGCAGAGCGGAAAATACAGGCCCGCTCCAGAGAGTTACAGACGCTCTCGTGTGTTGCCTTGAAATGAGCTCTTGTGGATACAAATGAAGTACGTGTCAGTATTTTAGAGACCAGGACTGGCATGAATGAAGCTGTGTTACTGATAGCTGCAAACACACTGTTTTATTTTGTCCAAAGCAACTGCACTCAAGATCACCTACCTTACGAACAATTCGACCAAACTCAGGATGAAAGGGGGTGAGAAAATTTGGGGTCAGATACCATTCTGATTACATGAAGCTTTAAGAATTCTGCTCCTGTGGATTGGTAGAAGTACTCCAAGATGGACAAGAGTTTTTCAGTTTCAACTCACAGGGGCCCTAGAACACTGATAGGGTTTATTCTGTTAAGGAAGCACGTGTGGTGGTCTTAAAACCCCAGGGAAGACTTTTCATCATTCACTGCCTGTCCTTGGGCTGTAGATCGAAGTCAGGGAGCTGGAAGGGCACAGCTGAAGGGACAGACAAGCACATCAGCTGCCAACACAAGTCTTCTGTGCTGAGTCGCCGGCCTAGTCAATGTGACAGGTTTAGGGGAAGGCAGACTGGAGGCTCAACCCAATCTGAAGGTTGAGGAAAAGCAGGCCCGAACCAAGTCTGCAGGAGCCACCTGACCTGGCGAAGAAGGATGGAAAGGGTCTACGCAGTGCGAAGGAGACAGCACGAAGCCACAGACGTGTTTATAAGGTGTTTCTGCTTAAAGACGGCAAAAGAGCCAGTGGACTAGCTTCATGTTTGAAGAAGGCTTTCAAAGCATATGCTCATTGTTTTAAGCACAAAAATGGGAAAAATGATCATCTTTACCATGTAAAACTTTTCTGATCTTTTCTCTCCCTCCCTCTCTTTCTCTTTCTTTTTTAACTTTTCAATGTCATTTTCTTTTGTGTCTAGACCAGTATTGAATATAGCAGTAGTGTTTCACCTGGAGTAACTGTTCTTCTGTCTTCTCTGCCTCCACCCCCCAAGTGGTCAAAACTAAATCTGTGCAAAATCGCAAAGATACAGTGTGCTCATATCCTTATCTGTGAGAGTCACCCATGTTAAGAATAAAGCAGTTACATTTGGAATACAACATGCATGGCCCAAGACCCAGTTTGTCAAGTTTCACTGAACAATAAAATGATAATTTGCTTCTGTTTCTTGAAATCTTTTTATAGATTTTTAAAAATTTATTTGACAGAGAGAGAGAGAGATCACAAGTAGGCAGAGAGGCAGACAGAGGGGGGAAGCAAGCTCCCTGCCGAGCAGAGAGCCTGATGTGGGGCTCGATCCCAGGACCCCGAAATATGACCAGAGCTGAAGGCAGAGGCTTAGCCCACTGAGCCACCCAGGTGACCCTATTTCATGAAATTTTAAAGCCCCCTTATTTTCTTGGCTTCCATGTAGATGGTCATTTTTAACATTGTGGAAGGAAACCACGGTGGCCAAAATTTTGCTCTTGGTGCAATTATAAATAGCACTGGGAGAAGTTTAAATCATCCTTGTAGAGGAAATCATTTTGAAGTCCAGGCTCTTCTATCCCACTGCCTTCAAACACTGCCTGTGGTCAGTTTTCCTCTCCTCCCTGGGCTCTGAGAACAATGCTGGCTTCCAAGAAAGGATCCACAAAAGAGGCAAAGCGACAGCAAGTTTGGGGAAAGGAAGAGGATAGAGAACCTAACGACCTTTTCTACTCTATCCTGGTTCCTTTGGCATTGATTTTTGTGCCTTTCCATCCTCTCTCCTCCGGAGTGTTCTCTCAGAAACCCGCCTCCCTCGACCACCCTGTCACCACCAGCAATTAGAGGTTCTGCGAATCGAGCCCTGGCCAGCTCAGCTTGCCAGGCGTCGGCACCGCTTACATCTTCGTGTGCTTTGGAGACTTTGAGCGTCTCCGAGTAACTCCCAAGTCTTGGGTGGTAGATTCTGTCTGCACTGGATCCTGATTCAAGGCCATCTGTAACTGATCAGTGCAAACATTTCCAGCAAGAGAGTTCCTGGGGGGCGGTGATGAGCTGTTTTCCTAGGTTTTAACTGCCAGAGTTTGTCAGCCAGACAAAAGCGCAAGAGGACTTAGAATTGAGTG